TTTTGAATATGAGTGCGATTCACGAATTAAATGCTCTCTAGTATCTTGTTTAATAATCGTCCGAAAACGTTATCAATCTCCACCTTTATCTTTCATTCGACGAGAAATGCTAAAAGATTGCTGCTTCTATTCGGTAAAGGAGGATGCAATATAATTAAAACTTTACTACTACCACTAATTGCTTAGAAATCTTAACGAATTGCTTTGTCCTGAGTATTCCTGAGAGGTTTTCAAAACACTTTTCTAAGAATGGTTTTCGCGTTCAGATTTAAAATCATAGATTGGAGAATTGGTATTTCCTGCCCTTGGTTTCCTCAAAATTGGATTACAGTGAATTTCAAAGAGTTGTAGATGAATAATTTTCAACCTTAAAAATGCAATATTGGAACATAAAAGTGAAATGTTGCTCAAATTATATCGAATAATTTAAAGACATTAATACCTGACTACAAATTTTTTTACCGCAGGTTTGATTTCTATTTTCGATTTCAAAATTTTCCAGAAAGTCCAAAACTCGCAGTAAGGGGTGAAACCACGACATTTCGCGGGCTCTTGTAGAGATTTTTTAGTTCAGCAACTGCATTGGCACGGAACGCCTCTGCTCTACATCCCATCAACGAGGCCCATTTTCTACGACCAGCTTCCATATGTTGTCGACTGGCTGCTGATGTTGCTTAACATCGTGATCAGATTATAAACCTTGTATCAACTGTCTTTGGAACCCTGAATTCTTGCTATACAGGCATACGTTCCTCACTCTGAGATCCAACTTAAAAATGTTTAAAGAAAATCATGTCAGAAAATACGTCGGCTTCATCCACAAAGTTTGGTGATATTTAAAGTAGTAAACCACGTCAGGACTCGGCGACATAAAATACGCGCCATGCACGCATAAAATACATGTGAGAATTAAGTACGCGACGGACGTTGGCATCATTACAGTTACGTAGCAGACCTGCCCTTCGTAATTACTGCGCTTTGTGATATTATGAACATGTCATTGCAAGCGTTACGCTTGAACCCGGCTTGATATCTATAAGGTGTTGCGCTTGAACCCGACTTAATATCTCTTAATTAGGGCATCATAAAGTCTAAATTTAACTTATAAAGGCTATTTCACGGGTTCAATGGTATAACTTGAGTTTTTTCGCGCTCAAAAATGTTTTGATATCAAGTAAAAAAAAATAAATTTACTTTAATTCGGAATTTATATATATTACTTCGGTGTACTGTTAATTAAGAAACTATATTGTTTTGGTAACGCATTGGTTGCCCCTGATCCAGGCGCTATGCGGCTTGTCAGTTGCGTGTAGACAAAGACGTGACTTGACAAAGGCGTCGCTCAACTGTGATCTAACCTTCACTGCGCTTAAAAAACGTAGAAAATGACAGTGAAAAGTATTGTAGATTAACCACCTGAATTTGATTGACCACTAAAGAGCGGTGCTCGGTTTTACCCGAAGACCTCTGCGGTCGTGAGCTCAGGCGAGGAAAATTGTTGATGTGCTATCACGGAATAAAATTATCTTAAAGCTGAACACTGTTTTCCCGTCGTTTATTCGTATAAACATTTCCAGGGACTGATTATATCCGTCAGGCCGCAATACTGTTTTACATTCTGCGTCGTTGCTTCTTGACCTCTAATGGAGATTCTAGGAATTAATTGAGGAAAACAGGACGATATTCCACACGCGCGTGATTTTTGGCCCGTTCATCGTCACAGCGTTCCAAGGCCGATTCATTTATTATATATCCCTTTATCGCCCACACGTGCGTGATTAAATACCCACGTGATTAAATAAAATCGCCCCACACGTGCGTCATTTTTGGCCCATTCATCACAGCGTTCCAAGGCCAATTCATTTATCCCATAATTCTTTTGTCGGAAATTCATGCTGTGGCCACAAGAAGGTAATCATGGACACGTCCTAAACCTGTTTTCATCCTATACATTCATATTGACCTTGACACGAGTGCTGAATTTATCCTTGGATACATGAGACCTGTGCTTTTAAAACAGTGTTAAAATTTATACATTGACCGTCAAATTTTAATCTGTTGTTTGTTTACAAAAATTTATTTGCGTATTTGTATCCATGGTATATATTTTATATTATGCAATTATGAAGCCGAGGATTGTTAGTTATAATGCATTGAAAGCTCAACTGACCTTAATGATACTTTATTTTACTTTCTGTTTAATTATCAAAATACTTAGAACGCGATATTTGCTTTAAAATCCATATCCTGCAACTTGGTCTTGCATGACCGATTCGACACTTCAGCGAACTCGCGTGCGAACTCGCCTGCGAGCTCGAACTTCATTTTCAACTGTGGCACTCATAACTCCTTCAATTATGAACGGATTTTATTCAAATTTGAAATATAAGTAGATAATATCAGTACGCTGCGGAGGGTATTAAAAAATTTGAAAAAAATACCCTCCGCAGCGTACTGATATTATCTACTTATATTTCAAATTTGAAGAAAATCCGTCCATTATTGACGGAGTTATGCGTGCCACAGTTGAAAATTAAGTTAGGTTTTCCATTCGAGCTCGCAGGCGAGTTCGCACGCGAGTTCGCTGAAGTGTCGGACCGGTTCTTGCATGTCACAATCGGTGTGAAGCAACGAACAGGAATGCCCATCAATTGAGGGACCGGAAACTCTTCGTCGCTTCCAATAACAAACTTGCGTGAAGTTCCTCATGAATGTCAAAGAGCTCAGATTCAGTTACATGAATCCCAGGTCGCAGCTTCCAGTTAAGAACCACACCCCTAGCAGGAATCACCACAGCAGCTGAGGTTGAGGCCACAGGGTCTTGCACATGTGAGCCATCAGTGTAGGCAGCAGTGAATCCAGCAAACTTGGTCTGGAGAAAATCTCTGAAAATCTGGATTGCATTACTGGAAGAAAGAGAGGTTACTGGGGTCGTTGAGAAACTAGTATGAATACAGTCTCTGGTGTTGAACCAGGGTGGAAGAGGGGAGATAAGTGAGTATCTGCGAGGTAGGGGGACAGGAAGGCGTAACTTGGTGAATGCATTCCTGACATTAAGAGTAAAGGTTGGCAGGAAGAAGCGAGAGCTTGGAGAGGGCTGGATTTGATGAACTAGTTGGAAGATATCAGCCATTTTGACAAGTTTCAGGAACTGACAAGTTTTCCGTCTTTTATCTCCGTGTGCAGAGTGGATATGCATTTATCAGCAGACATATTCATTATAGTACAGCCCTTATAATGCTCGTGGTTTATGTTTCTCATGTATGCATTACATATATTAATGTATGATTTTCTAGTCATTTCTGGCGTTTCCAATCCATGAGGTTTTCTACATGTTTTGCCATCTACTTTAATACGTATTGGTCTGTCTATAACAGCTTTTGTACATTGTGCTCTTCAACCTTGTAGTTGTATATACAATCGCGTGTAAATAAGTTTTCGTACAAGCGAATTCGACGCGCACGTTGTACATTGTTTTCGGTCGATCGATCGCGGCTGGTCGGCGGCGAGCCTTGCACTGTCATCAATGAATGTGTAAAGCTGGCCACAACCTCATGCGTACAGAGCGCATGCGCGCTGTAAGCNTTTTCGGTCGATCGATCGCGGCTGGTCGGCGGCGAGCCTTGCACTGTCATCAATGAATGTGTAAAGCTGGCCACAACCTCATGCGTACAGAGCGCATGCGCGCTGTAAGCCACGCTTGCTCTCGTAAAAATAAGGGGAACATTTCGTGTTTGTTTCTATTTTTACAACACTTCTCTTTAACTTCACCTCTTGTTTGTTTGTCTGTCTGCTACATCGATATTTAACACATTTCTACCTTTCCAATCGATCTGAAAATTTGCACACTTTGCGTAAAGCTAGAGACAATGCATAAATCAATTGGCAGAATAAACAATTTTGAAATTAAAAAAAATTATTTTTGCTCTTAAAAAATGAAAAAAAAAATTTTTTGTCTGCTACATATCTTAAAATCGTTTTAACACACTTCTACATGTCTAATCGATCTTTAATTTAGCACAATTGCGAAAAGTCGTAGACAATGCATATATGTATCAATTGACTGAATAAATAATTTTGAAAAATTTAGCTTTTTTATTTTAAAAAATGTAAAAATTAATTCTTTTAATATTCGGTAATAAAATTATAAATTCTTTGTAGATGTGTAACATCGGAGACACTGGATTCTTTAGAAGTGTTGTTTACGTAATTTTTAAACGCATTTTTTTTTTTTTTTGGCTTTTTATCTCTGTTGATTGTGAATTGAGAATTATCACGAACACACTCGGGATGTCATTTAAGTTTATGTTGAATAATTATATCATTTATGGCGAGTACCAAACATCTTTGTTGCATTAACTTTAATAGTAAAACTTAACTAAATTAATGACGAGAAATTTGCTGAGAATTGTGCTAGACGACCTCTCGAGTCCTGAATGAATTCTTTCAGTCGACGCGTCGTCAATGTATTTACGACGTCAATCTTTGCTTCCATTCCCTTTATAAAAAAGTCGTTATACAAAAGCTTTGGCGCTTATAGTCGTATTTTTTTGTAATAACTGCAAATTTTCATCAAGAAATTGTCAAGTTGAAAGTCACTTGAAACTACGAGGATGTTGTTTTTATCATCAACAGTTGTATAAACATCGGCAGCTGTGCGAGGTGAAGTGAGTTTAGGCAGCAAACTAACGCCAGCCTGAGATATGTTCAGTGATGGATGAATATCCACGTACAAGTGATACACATGTTGAAGTGGCGATTATTCATTTATAATTCCATATTACAATGGCATTATAATACAGTCTGGGGCTATCGACGTTGGCTGTATTTTTATTGTTTACTATTTATCATTAATGTGTACAGAACATACTAAAATACTTACTTCGAATTTGGCTCGTACAAACATGAACAGCCTCTCGGAAATTTAATATTTCATTTCAATTTTATTATCTTAACCTCATATTGTATGTAGCTCATTTTAATTATTTTTTTCATTTCAGGCAATGAACTTCTCTTACGACGCGGGAAATAGACATTCTTTAGATCGATTCCTCTCGTCAGAGGACAGATATCTTCTATTTCCTTACATTTTACCTTGTTTTACGGGTCATACCCAAAATTTTTAGGTTATCATTTGTTTTCCTCATTTGAAATGAGTAACTAAAATCTTTTGCATTAAAATGATAAAATAATTCTGGCCCAGATCCATTGAAATTCACTGGTAACGTGCATTTTAACCAACATAAACCTTTGCAATAAAGCTCGTAAAAACGCTATATTATCCACGAACTTGCACCAGCTTGGCCCTGCGGTTATTTTCATCTACATCGAGTGGCATTGTACTGACGGTTTTTAATCACTGCCTCTTAATTAAATACGGAAGATAGTAGTACCTTTTCAATTGAAACATGGCGGAGACAACTACCATTTATGAAGGGCTGCTACTGGGCGCATCGAACTCTTCGGGTCATCAAAAAACTTCAGATCTCGCCCTACTCTTCACTTGGGTCGACTACCTCGTCTTCGGTCTCATGCTCGGGGCGTCCGCGGCTATCGGTGTTTACTATGGCTTTTTCGCCAAGAAAAAGGCGGACGACACCGAGGAATTTCTCATGGCGGGAAAATCCATGACGACTTTCCCTATCGCCATGTCGCTCATCGCAAGGTCAGTTGCTCCTGATTTTTGTATCAATTATTTCATTGAGTACCTAGAACATTTTACAAAAAATATGAGTAAATGTTCGTTTTATTTTGCGATTTTTTATGCAAGTTTACGATGAGATTTTCTACACGTCAACATAGCGCCACTAAAAATATGAATGTTTTCGAATTTCATAAACAAAAGTTGTTAAGTGATCTTGAATTATCGTGAGCTGTGAAGCATATTTTCACCACTGTGGCAATAAGTATTAGAAATATTTCAGACACCATGACACCCAAAGAAATAATGCACGTCCAATTCGAGTGAGAAGCAGTGTCATTAGGTTGTTGCTACACGCCGTCAAGAATCGCAAGACAAAATTTCTTTGAATAAGATTAATCGAAATGCAGAAATGGTTCATAAAGCCAATAAATTGACTGATTTTTATGATTATACATTGCCAAAAACAAAATAATTCAACACAGGAAGAACTTTATTACTTCAACTCACACAAACAAAACGAAGTGAAAATTTACAACCAGATTGAAATTTAGCGGTACTATATGAATTGACGTTTCCGCCTTGAAATAATTTTTCATTTTATCAATAAAAGTTCAGAAGCTCCACTCAGATTAATTTCGAGTTAAACAAAAAATACTTGAATTTTCTGCTTTGAGTTTCAATTCTAGTTGCTCGTAAAGAAAACCCGGAAACAACATTGAACAAATTTAAATCATTACACTAAGTAAAGCAGCATCGTTGTAAGATGCCGCTGTTTTGGGACCAAAAAAATCAGTCATCAAAAATCCTGACTTGAGGTTTTGATAAGAATTTGTATATAAATCCGTGCTAAACTATAATACGTATCCTCGTTCTGAATTAGTTATGCGTTTTCACAATGTGATCTTTTTTTATTATTTTTTAACATTCAAAATTAAAAAAGCTTAATAAATAAATGACCTCGCGCATTCAGATATCTTCATTGAAATATTGGTCGGTCGATCAACTCGTATTTTATCCAATTGTTATTCCAACATAACTACCAAAAAGAAATTAGTCTATATTGTCCACATAATGACGTACTTTCTTATACCCACTAAATGAGTATGCAATTCTGATATTAACTTCAGGCGGGCCAAATTGGGTCATGGCGCAAACGCAAAACTGCATCGCTATTTGGATAAAGTCTTGCTTACTTCACTAAGTGTCGCATTTTCTAATTTCATTTTCTATTTCCTGCCCCAGTTTCATGTCGGCCATCACGCTGCTGGGCACCCCGTCCGAGATATACCAGCACGGTTTCATTTATTATCTCATCGGCTTCTCCTACATCATCGTGATGCCAGCTGCTGCATACCTATACCTACCAGTCTTCTGGGACCTGCAGGTACGTAGGCATTATTATTCTCTAAATAAAAAATTCTTATTTTTATATTGTTCTGGTCAAACATTTTTATCCAAAGCCAAGGTTTCTGTAAACTATGAGGAGTTCCTTATCATATTAATTTGCCCTCGATATTCACGAAAATTTGAAGTTTTTTATTTTCAGAAGTATTATGTAGGTTATTCCCACCTACGTTTCCTGATGCTAAAACGCTTTGCAATTAACGTGTGAAAATTTGTTTTGCCACTCAATGATTATCGTAGAGTTGTTGAATTTGTGAGATCCTGCGCCTTCCAGCAGTGTGAGTTTAATTATAACTTACGCAGCAACATTATAAATTATGCAGCAACGTACCAACTTATCCAGCAACATTGCTACTTGTATTCACAGTCACAATTTCGTCTGCAGAAACAGTATAGCGTCAACTTATCTTCTGTCTTTATTTCTAAATTAAACCCGCTGTTGAATATACAATGAATATTTCAGCTCGAAATTTTTTGGTTAACTCGGCGCAACTCGCCGAGTTAACCACATTATGCGTAGGATGATGCAATGAAACTCTGTACTGAATTTTTAAGCATCACGTTTTTTGCAATCATTTGTTGCCATATTGATGACCGTATTAAAATTTTTCCTTTTCTTTTGTATATCTTGATCAGGTGACCTCTGCGTACGAGTATCTTGAGATCCGTTTCCATCCTTACGTTCGGCGTCTAGGGTCCGGAATTTTCATTTTACAGGTGAGTAGAAATTATGTGTTTTATTGTTTTTGTAATATATGAAGACCATTTTACAGGGACTTGGAAAATATAGCAGCTCATGTTTTGTTCGGTAAACATATCCGGATTATTTTACTTATTTCTACCAATTATGGTGGAACAACTTTCTTTGTTTTAAAAGATAATTCAATTTTCGCAGAAAAGATGATTCAGTTTTCGCAGAAAAAATAATTCAGTTTTCGCATAAAATATAATTTAGTTTTCGCAGAAAAGATAATTAGGTTTTCTTGCAGATGACTTTGTACATGGCGATCGTGGTGTTTGCCCCGGCCTTAGCGCTGTCCCAGGTCACGGGTATCAACCTTTACGTGTCCATCTGCCTGATCTGCTTCGTGTGTATGTTCTACACCACCCTTGGAACCATGATCTTCATCATGATCTTCGGTGCCATGTCAGTCGGAGGCTTCGGGTTCGTGTGGGAGAAGGCCGTGGAGAGCGGCCGGGCCCAGCTCATGAATGTGGACCCGAGGCCTACGACCCGACACACGGTCTGGACCCTGGTCATTGGTGGATACTTCACCTGGATCACAATCTACGGCTGCAACCAAGCGCAGGTACACGGAACGATATGTCACTAACAGAAAAAAAATCATTCCCTTTTTACGTCAAAGTTATTCGCATACTTCGTGAGAACTATTTTCGCCGGTTCCTTCAGGATGTCATGATGAACATTCTCAAGATAATCGAATTTAAGCATGAATAATCGCAAGGGAATCGTCCGTAATAAAAGATAATCGTCCGTACTAAGAATTGCAACAGTCATTCCGTTTTGCAATGACATGATCCGATGAAATACAACTGACCTTCCTCGTACAAGCATGAATACTCTAAATAAATATTTTTCCATGCAGGTACAACGCTACTTATGTGTTCGCAAAATGTACATGGCGAGACGGGCGCTTTGGATCAACCTGATTGGTCTCGTCATCCTGATGTCCATTTGTTCGTTTTGCGGGCTCGTTATTTACGCCAAATACTACGACTGCGATCCCATCTCGTGAGCGTCTCTTATTCTCTCTTTTTATTGTTAGCTAGTTTGGCCTAATTTGCAATCTGAGATATGGAATTATAACTTTACCCTAAAAGTTGAGAATGAAAAATATATGAAAAATTCAGTTATAATTTCATTATTTATTCCGTAATAATCAATTCCTCGCGGTACTGACGGTGCTAGTTCGGTCTCATAGAACACTCATCTAAAGGAACTTCAGGCGTTCATATACTGTCCCAAACCTTCTATCCTTATTATATAAAATGAGATATATTCATGAAGATCAATACTTGGTGTGTCTTTTCAAATGCTTAAGAGTATCTTGCACTCATCAGGGGCGGGATTGTCACCACCGGTGACCAACTGTTCCCGCTGTTCGTAATGGAGACCATGGGGCAATTCAAGGGCCTCCCTGGCCTCTTCGTGGCGGGCATCTTCTCCGGGGCACTCAGGTGATTATTTGTTTAGAAAAATATTGCATGATATTCTTGATTACTCTCAGTACTAGATTTTGGATTGCAATATTGAAACCAAAGGAAAAAATGACCAATAAATTCATCATCGAATCATCGCTGAGGAGATGATGAATTTACTTGTCGATCGCTTTCTTTGCATTTAAATTCTTTGTGCACTGAAGATTTCAGCAGACTAATGATATAAGTACTTGCAATATTGGCTTTTAAAGCTCAATGCATATAAATTGACAATATTTAATACTTTTTCCTAACTGCACACTTTCGCCAGCACGGTGTCGTCAGGAATGAACTCGCTGGCGGCGATAACGTTGGAGGATTTTGTGAAAGGGTTTTTCTGGAAGGATATTAATGAACTTTGGGCAACGCGACTGTCGAAGATTCTTTCTCTTGTGTTCGGGGTTGTCACATTTGCGCTCGTTTTTGTGGCCCAGCAACTTGGCGATATTCTCTCCGTAAGAAACCATTTCGAATTAATATCTACGCATGAATTGACAGCAGTGTTGTGCTCATTTTATTCGAATTTATTCGGCAGCTAAAGCTAACATATTCTCAGATTTCTATTTTGAAATATTTAGTAGAATGTTTGTTTAGCATAATGTCGTCAGCGTCGAGCAGTTCTCTGATTTCTTGTCTACAGATTGGCAAATCGTGTTCTTTGTCACTAAACGGCTGACTAACTAATCAACTTCGTCACTATCACATCCTGACTTCAAATTTTAGAACCCGCCAAATCACGACGGATTGTAGTATTCTTTTCGATTTCAACGTGCTTGTTTTAGTTTTAATTACAATAATATGATTTCCAGGCTGCGCTCAGCATCTTCGGCATTGTTGGAGGTCCGTTATTGGGCATGTTCACCCTTGGCATGTTCTTCCCGTGGGCCAACGGCATAGTAAGTAACACTAAGACATATTCCTTAATTTATGGTTATTTTTAATCACACCGCGCTAATATTTACTGTCTAGTATAACCGAAACTCTAAGAACGTAGATTGAATTGAACATTGATAGAATTTTCGCCTGCACCTTCAGTCATGCTGGTCATTTTTGTCCTTCATTAGTTAATTGTTCCAATAGAAATTTGTGATCGTTTTTATTCTTGAATGCTGTCGTTATGATCGTAATAATTTTTCTTTGTAGACATTTCATTCAGTTTTTGCGATTTTTCAGGGCTGTTTCATGGGAGCGCTCGTGAGTTTGTCCTTCATGTTATTTATTGGGATAATGAACCAAGTGGCCAGAAATTTCGGCTACAGCACTACAGTCAAAATGCCAATTTCCACCGACAATTGCCCGGCCTTCAACGCGACCGTATCTTCTGTTGTCAAAGACGTGTCGGAAATGTGCGTATTAAGTCGCATAGATTATAATTATATTATTAATTTAGAAATATATAATAATATAGTTGTTTTAGCTAGATTAGACCATGTTTATCTATCGCCGATTTGACACCGCCGATTTCGTAACCTTGCCGATTTCGACCATAATTTTCATAACTAGTCTAGGGTTTCGAACCTTTCAACTCGCTGCTCCAATCTTGGTTATCTTAACCACTCAGCTACGAGCTTCAATCAAAAAATGAAACCAAGAATTTAAAAGCACAGATATTCGAATCATTTTATTTTTATCGAATACTTTTCGGATACCAGACTCCTGTTCACTTCAAAATTGTCAAGAATAAAAATAGAATCAATAGAGTTAATTAATTAACTCGGATAAGATTTAGACTTAAATTATTGAATAAACGAACGAATTAACTTCAAAAAACAATTATTCAACAATTCAAAGCGGAACAGTCGCCCTACTTGTATCGTTGACGCTCCAAGTACAAGAGCGTTCAAGAACAGACTAAATAAAGCTATGCAGATTGCGGAGGTATAAATTTCGGATAGAAGTGCCTCCAACCTCAGAAATTGGCGGATAATCAGATGTTACTTGGCTCCAACATCAAATTTCAATCTGGTCTGAAGGCCAGTTCTCATATCAACAGAAGACAAGTCAAGAATATATAAATATTACATGAATATTAAGAAATCGGCGATAGGCCAAACTGGGATTATTTTTCAACGGCGATATTACTGTGCAATAATGTACTACAAACGTATAACCGCTGCAAGAAGAGTCGCTGCCACTGATTGTGCAAATTTTCCGTATATGTTGGTCAATTATGTTTGCTATGACAATTACCTCATTGGTTTTACTAGAATTATATCTTCAACCTTACAAATGTCTACATTATTTCATGATGGAATAGCCCGGCGTTCCTGAAGTCGGACCTCTTCCAGTTGTCGTACATGTGGTACTCGGCCACAGGCTGCCTCATCGTCATCGTCGTGGGGCTCATCATCTCTGCGTTCACCGGTACCCAAGACCTGAGGAAACTTAACCCCAAGACCCTGTCTCCTGGCTTCCATTGGGTCAAGCGCATCATTCCTGGCTCTGATAAAATCGGGCTCGACTGGGTAAGTCGGTATAAATGATGCATGGGAGTATTTGTCTAAGAAGATCTTGGCTCTGATAAAATCGGGCTGGACTGGGTAAGTCGGTATAAGTGATGCATGGGAGTGTTTGTCTAAAGAAGATACTGGCTCTAACAAAATCGGGCTGGACTGGGTAAGTCGGTATAAATGATGCATGGGAGTGTTTGTCTAAAGAAGATACTGGCTCTAACAAAATCGGGCTGGACTGGGTAAGTCGGTATAAATGATGCATGGGAGTTTTTGTCTAAGGAAGATACTGGCGCTGACAAAATCGGGCTGGACTACTAAGTCGGTATAAATGATAAGCGCGAGTGTAGATTTAAAAAAGATACAGGCTCTGACAATATCGGTCTAGAATGGGTGTCATTTAAAGAGGATGAAATTGTATGGGAATATAATTGTTACCTGTGAAAGGAAAATAAGAAACCTACAATTGAAAATTTTTTTTGGCCGCAGCTCATCTTCGAGAATATGATCTTTGTTAATTGGATGATTAATTGGAGCGATATTATAGTACACAACAAATGCGCTTTGTGTTAATTTATCCTATAATCTTATTAAATTAGCTCTGTATCGAAGTGGAATTTACCATCTATTGTCGTTTGTTTTTTCACCGACAAATGACCAACATTGATGAATGATTGATGAGCTATTATTTCCGATTTCTATTTTTTTAAGATTTGTTGACGCTCATGAAGATATTCTCATGAAGATATTCTCAGTTTCCCAAAATATTTTCATGATTTTCCCCGCCTTTTCCAAGGTTGACGAGAGGGCCACGCTACGTGAAGACCCAAGCGTGATAAACGGGCTCAATAACTATGGCTTCGAGAGCGAAAAGTCCGAGAAATACAACGGAGGATTGATCGAGGCCTCCAAACTCTGAAATGGACCCGGAGCCCCGGATCCTGTATCCAGAAAAGCGTTACAAAAGTTTAATTTCATGTCTTTGTATTTAATTCAATTTAATTTAATATCAATTTTCCCTCGGCTCACATGCACGCAGACTTGCCTAGAAGCAGAAATCCAGACATAATTTAAATGTTGTACATACCATTAATATATTCAAGTACTTTTGATTCATTTGTCCTTATTCTTCTCTGCAACGTAATTTATGTGATTTTTATTTATTTAATTCAAATCAAAATTATTTCTTGTTCCGTAAGATAAATAAAGTTATTATTTATCGTCTGGCAAATCTACCTAATTGCTGTAGATGTGTAGTATCTTGTGTTCCTGTACATCTTATTAATATTGTTATTAATACATTATTCTCAATAATGTAGTTTCAATTTCATTTATTCGAATACAACGTTCATCTAATTGCCTTCATTTCAATACACTGGATGCATTCGACGAACTCTGATGCATATTGAGCTCAGTACGCATTATGGTGTGCATTTTCATTAATTATAATACAAAGTGAGACAAGCTGCATAATTTAATGTCACTATTTCCTTCCTATCGGGATATCATATTGATGGCGAGTGATATTGTACAATGTGCAGGATATTGTGTGCTTGACGAAGTAAGATTTAATAAAACTCTGCAATAACACGCACTTCTCGTGTAGTCCTAAACCATCAATAAAATGGTCATCTGAACGAGGACGGGCGTTTCCCATAAAAACTTCATATTTCTTTCTCTGCTACATTTATAAAAATGGCTACTAAACCCTTGTCGGACGGCATAATTTTACTTTGTTATAATTCATACCGACTTTAGGTACCGTTTTACCTGTGCCATCCGACAAAGGTTAATGCAGATTCTTTGGAATTTTGGAACCTTGTGTCTTCATCTCTTTAACCGAGATACAATTTATGCTTCATTTACTGAAGTCATTCCCATCACGTAAAAGTCTTCAGCTTTTTTTTTAAAAAACGCGTGTAACTTTTCCTGCTCGCTTCCTGTAGGGAACTGCCACATTTCTATCCTTTACCACCCAATAAAACCCATAATGCATTTTCAGTACAGAGTTCCGCGTGCACTAAAAGTTGAACGAGCAGTAATGGCTACTCAACGAAAAATATCACGACAATCCTTTTGCCAGCAATGAAGAAGTAATTCAATCCTGATGGTTTAATCATTAGCAAATAGCAATACATGTCGAGAACGCTACTACTATAATTTCGAAATCCCTGTGCACAATGCCAACGAATTTGATACTTTTTAAATTTGATTTGTGTTAAGTTATAGACTAGTTGAGTTAGTTTGTGTACTGAATGCAATTTATAATCGTGAAACTTGCAATAATTTGAAAATCCTCTTCTCCTTTCATTTCCATCTCATGAAATTTCGTCTCTAATTCCTGAATGACGGATTCGACATTGCCGACATTCATCGAACTCGGTCGGCAACGATGTCCGCGGTGGAGATCGTCATTTGTTCAGGGTTGGTTTTGCTATGATTCCTTTTTCTTTCATTTTATTACAACACTTCTCTTTAACTTCACTTCTTGTTTGTCTGTCTGTCTGTCTGTCTGCTACAAATCTTGCAATCGAAATGTAATACACTTCTACTTATCCTATCGATCTGAAATTTTGCACACTTGTGTAAAGTTGGAGACAATGCATGAATCAAATGTCAAAATAAAAGATTTTAAAAATTTAAAAAAAATTATTTTTGTTTAAATATTAAAAAAAATTGAAAAAATAATTTTGCCAGCTACAAATCTTATACATGTAACTGATATTTGACACACTTTTACCTGTCTGATTGATCTGAAATTTTGCACACTTGTGTGAAGTCAGAGGCAATGCATGAATTAATTAATAGAATAAATAATTTTGAAAAAAATTATATATTAAAAAATTTATATATTAAAAAAAATTTAAAAACTTATTTTTTAATTTGAAAATTAAATGAGAAATTCATTGTACATTTGTAAGATTGGAGACACTGGATTCTTTGGAAGTGTTGTCTTTAGTGTGAAATCAGAGGCAATGCATGAATCAATTAACAGAATAAATAATTTTGAAAAAAAATTATATATTAAAAAAATTATATATATTAAAAAATGAAAAGTAAATTTTTTTAATTTTCGAAAATTAGTTGAGAAATTCATTGTACATCTGTAAGATTGGAGATACTGGATTCTTTGGAATTATTGTCTTTAAAAAGTAATTTTTAAACGTATATTATTTCATTTCCGTTGGCTACTACAATTCACCATGGAATATTTTTTAGTACAAATTTAATAAATAGCCAAGTGTACCCCAAAATAGATCAATAAACAGCTACTTTCGACCCAGATGGATTCCATTTGCCGTAACGATGTTAGTCAAGTAAGTTGAGAATAACCCGTAGACTTAAATATGAGCCTTTTTCTATTCAAACGATGATTCGTTTACACCAGTAACATTCTGATAGATTTAACGCAGTTTGTACTTCTATTCCGGCCATTCAAGGTATAATGCTCATAATGCATTTTTTGTAAACATGTCGTGGTTAAAAATACCCTCCTTTAACGTTATGAGATAAAATTAGAGCAATATCAATATACTTTTTACTTAAAGGGTCGTTCTAAGATTATAAATTTATTCCCGGATGCAACTATTTTAATTAACCCTCCTGTAGTTTGTGGGTCAAAATGACCCTCATTTCCCACCCTATGCCCAGAGGGAATAAAGCGTACAAAGAAATGAAAACAAGAGGTTAAGTTTACAACTTGAATGATAACTTTCAAGTGCAAGTTTTTGCCGTTAACTGAGACTCGTCAGTTGTTGTCACATCAAATTCGTGAATTTAAATGATTGTTTTAACATTTGCGAGACCAATCTAGCCAAAAATTGTTTGAAATCACTTGGTATTGCATGAGAACTGAGCGTTTAACATCAAAACTGAGTGTTATATGAACTATATCTTAAAAAATAGGGGTTACATTTTTTTATTGTCGTTTAAATAAAATATAATAATTCTAATGCAAGGCTAATTCTATTAGATTATTTTAGTTAAACTGAAAATCTTATTCAAAAAATTAATAGAAGATTTTCACTTCACGTGAACTTTGACTTTGGCTTGATTTTAACAGTTGTTTAGGTAATTATAATTGATGATCGAATTGCCCTCAATCGAACACTTTCTTCAAGCTCAGTTTGATACCAGCACGTGTGTTTTTATATAAGTAACTTGGACTACGTACAATTAACTCTGTTTAACTTGAAATGAGCGTGCATTGCGATTCATTTATTTCAGAAAAGTTTTGACTAAATATATATATCATAACCAAGAATGATTTTAAATATGCACAGAACAATCAACATGGAAGATTTTAATGGTCAAATATTATTGGTAATTTTACAAGACGGAATAACTTATGGCCGATTTTAAACGCTATCGAATGAGTTCGCTCAGCTCAGTTCTTCAGAAACCAATAAATTCACTCTGACTAATTAATGTGTGTTTACTTATCCCATCGTATCGTACCTAAACCTTTCTATCTGAGTTTAGTAAACAATACAAGTTGTACTGGCCTCAAATAATCCTGTGAGTCTGATATGAGTCTAAAATGACATATATGGATAGGTAATGTAAATAAATAAATTATACCCTACCCTATAGCATCCCTATTAATTACTGTCACTGTCCCACACCCACACATCCCACAGGTCACAGGATAGTGAAAAAATTTTTGAAATAGATCAGAAAGTTTGAACTAACTAAGTCAAAAAAAAAACCCTCAAGAAAAAAAAAATTAAAAACAAATAATAATAATAACAATAATAATAAGAAAAAATACAAAATTATGCAAAAATTAAACATAAGCGTTAAAATTGAAGCAATTAAAGAAATAAATATTAGGAGTAAATAACAAAACAAAGAAAATTAAAAGGAAAAATAATTAATGAAATAAATAAAATTAAAATAATAATACTAAAAATTAAATAAAAAATAAAAATATATATATATACAAAAATAAAATAAATGAAAAGAAAAAAAAAGGATAATAATTTGAAATAAGAACAAAATATATAAATAAAATTAAAAAAATTATAGAACAACAAAACCATAAAATATAAAATGCAATAACACAACATAGCATGGACGGCAAACCCGTCGAAGAGAATAAGACACGTGACACGCATCGCACTCCATAGGTCTGCCGTGGAACACTGCAGACCTGTGGAGCATATCTATATACACATGAGCTAAGAAAAAATAAATAAATAAATATAGCAATAAAGCACCAAACGTTAAAAATTTGGGTGCTACCACTACATTTAATCATCAGGCAAGTATTCTTTTTAACAATTCAAGATCAAAACCAGTATTAGTTGTCACAACCATGCCCTAACTTGCGCCACACATGAGATCTTTAACAGTCTTGAAATCACTAAATATTTTACACGGAATCCTTATCTAAACTTCTTGCACTTCTTACCCGTTTTAAATTTATGAGCGATAGATTCAACGTCACTTCGCCTGTTCATATGTTAATTTGGGTTTTAAACTCATCCGTGAATACTTGGTTGCTCCGTTGATTATCCGTGAATCATTGAAGTTTTGCAATTAATTATAGAGATGGTTTATAAAACGAATATAGAGAATTTTAAACGAATTTAGAGAATTCACATGGTTATTTTTTTCTTACATGTATCATAATTTTAGAATTTTGCTTTGTAAACCAAATAAATCACTTATTTTTGCGAGGAAGCTTTTTTTTACATGCGCCGCCTCTCTCATTTGTGAATAGTGGCCATCCTCAAATTTCTTCCATTTTACCTCATCGAACCCCTCGTAATTTACTCAGCGGCTCGCTGTAAATATAACCCACTATATTAATAAAACTATTAATTGAAACTTTTATTACCCATGAAAATGAAAAAAATAATTAGAGAGATGCTATTCCTACAGAGAGAGGAGCTATTCCTACAGAAAATTGAAAGTGCGCCTGCAAAATGGTGTAGTTTTAACAATGATATTCTGCACAGCCCTGCTTAATATATTCCACAATAAAAATTCACCACTGTTATCACTTCCAGCAGAGCAAAAGTTTACATGTAGCTGCTCAATAATTTTGCTACTCATTACTAAGTTAACGGTTAGCCAACCGTGCCGTAAATGTACACTTAGCTAGCTTGTTTGACGGTTTTGCATACATATTTTTTTACTATTTTTATGAATCTAATAATAAAACTTCATTTAATAACTTTTAATCACAAGGAAGCAATATATTTCTTAACATTAATCACTGTTTTATGTATAATTAATTTCTGCATAACATTAATAAGTTAAGCGGGTTGCAAATGGCCAATTCCGGCATTCGATCAAATCTTAATAAAAAATTGGAGGTGTCAAGGCGTTGGCTTACACTCAGGAGAATAAACATGTCATATTGTCCAGGGCCATACTTTCAAAACTCGCTAAGTGAACGGAAGTACTTACGCTCTATTTCCTTGTCTATGATTGGTGGATTTTGCTTGAAAGACCGTCTATGATTGGCTGATGAACTTACGATCTCTTAACTTTTTCTGAAAGTATAGGCCCTGCAGGGGCCATTCTTTAAAAACTCGCTATTTGAACGTAAGTACTTACGCTCTATTTTCTTGTCTATGATTGGTGGATTTGGCTTGAAAGGCCGTCAATGATTGGCGGATGAACTTACGATCTCTTAACTTTTTTTTAAAGTATAGGCCCAGGCACGTACAAACTTTCCGCTCGTTGCACAGATACACTTTTTTGCCGGGTCTAATTGCCTCCGGAATGAAGGGTTTTCGCATTTTTTTTTGATGTTTCAAGTAATGTGGACTAGTCCAGGCAATTAATATTTTACTTGTTTATTACGAAACAAAAAAAAATATTAAAGTCTTTTCTTAGTCACATTGGATGAACGTTTCAGCAACAAATTTTTTACGGAACGTATATCGCGTAAAAATATTCACTAATATTACAAACCTCGCACATTTCTATTTATGGTTTTCTTTGTTACTTTTCCTTATTCATTCAATTGAACTTCGGCAGGTAGAATAGATATTTCTTCTCAGCTTAATTTTGTTCAAAGATTACCGTGCGATTTGATTCCGATTTTTAGGGAATACCCGTGCATTGTGGTGATATAACATAATAGTTCAATATACATTCAAGCAGAGCAACGAATGTGAGCAGCCAGAAACGCAATGAAGTTCGTGCTTCCTCTGCATCATTAGTTCGAAATATAGACCTCAAATAAAATTTACTACATTCAACTATATTTATATCTTTGGTAAAATCTTTCAAGAAACCACAGAATAATTTTTTTTCCTTTGAAGACCAAAGCTAATTCAGAAATTTCTCCCCACTTGCTGAAATTTTTAAACGACAGATCGACTTTGATCATTTCACAATGACAGGTTAGCGATAAAGTGAAACGTCCGGTAGAAATGTTTTTTAACGTAAAAATTAAAAAAAAATTTGACTTCATTTTGCAAAGAAAGCGTCCCTTTATAGTTATTTATTAATCTTTCAGCCAATTAGTTACAAATTTTATTTTATGCGTTTCCTAAGTAATTATTTACGCATGTATGTACGTTATTATATAACTCCTCGTATATATAACTTTTATTCGTACAGTTTTATATAACTCCACGTTTTTATATCTGTACGAATGTATTATTGAATTTTTCGGATACATGAAAATTTAAATGAAAGAATTCTCTTTTCATTAATTGCACGTGTGCAAACAAGCATATTTTGACATTCAATACAAATGTATGTATGTTTTTGGGTATGTATGGGTGCATTTATGTATGTATTTTAAACATTTTAATTTTAAAATGTTTTAAAAATATTTCTTAATTTTTATAATTAATTATTATTTAAATATTTTAATTCATGAAATATGAACAATTCATACCACAGAACTCATGAGTAACTAACACGCAGGCATCGATATAACTTGCGGTGCCTGGCACGAGAGTTGATACAATTTTATATTAAACTAATTCAACTCTCAAACTTTCCAGCACAACTTTGATAATTGCCTCACTTTTCTGTTTTAGAAGTTTACGAATGATTGCTGGCAATGCTGCGGTGCTGTCAAAATCATTAATTATTATTCATGCATGCGCCACATCACGCATACCACACATAAAGCATCACGCACACACGCATGGCACATAAATTGTAATTAAGACACACCACACGCATACCACAAATATTGTAAAATACACACATCATGCATATATACCACACATAACGCATGATGCACATCAAGCATGAAACACGTAACGGATGACATATCACGCATATCACACATAACGCATGACGCACCACGCATGCCACACACGTATAGTGCATGCCACTCGTCACGCAAACAAGCATCATTCATGCAACTCTGCACATCACACATACCCCATTATTGCATGTAACACCGTGCATGCTGCATATCTTGCATACTACGTACAGTCATTGCATGCTAAAATTCTTATACCAAATTTTGCATGATACCAAGTTAGTATGTCAAATCATGCTTACCGCACATTTTGCATGCATCAAATCTCCATTTACAGTAGCGATGTTAGTCAAGTGAGTTGAGAATAGCCCGTAGACTTAAATACGATCTTTTTTCTATTCAAACGATGATTCGTTTACACCAGTAACACTCTGATAGATTTAACGCAGTTTGTATTGCTGTTTCGGCCATTCAAGGTATAATGCTCATAATACATATTTTGCAAGCATGTCGTGGTTGAAAAATACCATCCTTTAGCGTTATGAGATAAAAATAGAACAATATCAATATACTTATTTACTTATCCGGTCGTTTTAAGATATACATTTAAACGTGGATGCAATTATTTTAATTAACTCTTTTATTTTTTGTCAAAATGACCCGCATTTCCGACCCTATACATAAGCCAGCGGGCATAGAGCGTAAAAGAAAATGAAAACAACGAGAGGTCATGTTCACAATAATTTTCAAATACGATTTTTTGCCGTTAACTGAGACTCTTCAGTTGTTGTCACATCAAATCTTTAATTTAAATTGCTATTTAAAATTTACGAGACTAATTTAGCCCAGAATTGTTTGAAATCACTTAGTATTTAATAAGAACTGAGCGTTTAACATCAGAACTGAGTGCTATATGAACTGCAATTAAAAAAATAGGTGTTACATTTTTATTGTCGTTTAAATAAAATATAATAATTCTAATTCAAGGCTAATTCTATTAGATTATTTTAGTTAAACTGAAAATCTTATTTAAAAAATAAATAGAAGATTTTCACTTCACGTGAATTTTGACTTTGGCTTGATTTTAAAAGTTGTTCAGGTAATTATAATTGATGATCAAATTGCCCTCAATCGAACACGTTCTTCAAGCCCAGTTTGATACCAGCACGTGTGTTTTTATATAAGTAACTTGGACTACAATTCTATTTAACTTAAAATGAGCGTGCATTGCGATTCATTTATTTCAGAAGAAGTTATGATTCAATATAAGATCATAACCAAGAATGATTTTAAATATGCACAGAACAATCAACATGGAAGATTTTAATGGCCAAATATTATTGGTAATTTTACAAGACGGAATAACTTATGGCCGATTTTAAACGCTGTCGAACGAGCTCGCTCAGCTCAGTTCTTCGGAAACCGTTGACGTGTAAGGCATGCGTAGGTCCACTGTCACAGGCTGCATACATACTGTAATTTCACTGTCATTGACTGCATATGGCATGTACATACTGTAATTTCACTGTCATTGACTGCATATGGCATGTACATACTGTAACTTCACTGTCAGGCTGCATACATACTGCCAAGTCCACATCACAGCTTGCAAATATACTGTCCCATGACTCATATACAAAACAGTAAATCTACTATCATATGCTGCATAAATACTGTAAGTCCACTGTCAAAGGTTGCGTACTATTGGTAAGTAGCATAAATATCTAAAAAATATAACTCAGTACTCACTGCAGTGAGTGACAGAGAGCGCTTTTTCTCGTCGACGAAAACTTGAGGTCACGGACAGACAGACAGACGGACATGGCGAGAACAATAGTACATTTTTTCCATAAATGAGAAAATGCGCTAAGAACTGTATTGATTATTCAATTGATGCTTGTATTTGTGTATTTGTAATTCATGTGTACTTAATTCATGCATAGGAGAACTGTACATGTAATTGCGATGTTCAGAAAAGGGTTTCGGAACAATATTTGCAGCGATTCCAAGATCATCACATCTGATCGCTCGATTCGGCAGGCGGAGCAACTGATTTGAAGACTAATTATAGAAGATTAATTATAATCACTGAAAAGTTTGACGTTCTTATTTCCGAGAACAATTTCAAAAATTTAGCGTCACCTCTTCAGCTTCAAATTTATCAGTCTTGAAACCGCTAAATATTTTACACGGAATCCTTATCTAAACTTCTTGCACTTCTTACCCGTTTTAAATTGATGAGCGATATAGATTCAACGTCACTTCGCCTGTTCATATGTTAATTTGGGTTTTAAAATCATCCGTGAATAAAAAAATTGGGTTTTAAAATCATCGTTGAATACTTCCGGTCGTTCCGTTGATTATCCGTGAATCATTGAAGTTTTGCAATTAATTATAGAGATGGTTTATGGAACGTTGTAAACGAATATGGAGAATTTACATGGTTATTTTTTTTCTTTCATGTATCATGATTTTCTAATTTTGCTTTGTAAACCAAATAAATCACTTATTTTTACAGAGAAACTTTTTTTTCATGCGCCACACTCTCATTTATGAACGTATACTGATGTAACTAATTCTAATGCAAAACTGTGCTGAATTTATTGTTACTGATGCTTAGTCAACAAATATCTTTGTTGTTCATCGCCGTTTTGAAAAAATTCAATATCATCCTCCACGAATTTAAAATTAATCTTCTTGAAAATTAATCGATTTCTGGAAAAAAATATATTCCTGGACTCCAGGTTTCGGAATTGGAATGCATGTATCGATGGTGATAAATATGGAACGGTTTAGGATGCGATATTTATTACAAACGATATTGTGACAGCGAGGATATTGTCGATAAATATCAGGGTAAATAGAGATTTAAAGTTGATGTTTTGTAATGTTATTTGCAGCCATAACTTTAATGCTTAATTTCCTCCCCTATTATGTTCATGTTTACTTCCAGGGATAAATTAATGATCTTAACTAACCTTCAAAATGAAAATAAAGTTTTCTGAACTAAATGTGCAAGCCTTTGCAGTACTTCTCGTTCTGCTTCGTGACGCGCAGTCGTCAAATACAATCGAGGGAACATACCAGAAGGTGAGCCAGAGTGTACGAAATGTACGAAATTAACGCAAATCTTACTCAGAAATTGTTTCTATTAATCCTAAATACAAGCAGTAAATAATTAACATTACCTGTTCTGGATTTAATTTTAATTCGAAGTGTACTGAGACAGTATGATTTTCTATTTTTAGTTACGATAGGAAAGTCACTGTTACATTTAAGTAAACCTATTTCATGTCAAATATTACCCATTGCCAAACGAAAGCAAAAGAAGTGGTCGTTCATTCTTCAATGAATATTTACTTGTTGAGCCGCAATATGCAAAATAGTTGAAAATTTGCAGTTCTGTCCGCCACTCACTGACTGCTGATCAAGCTAAATCCACCAATCACGGACAAGAAATCGACCGCTACATTTCCTTAGGCCGCTACGTGTACTTAGGCCGCTACGTATTCATAGATTGCTACGTGTACTTAGCCCGCTACGTGTACTCAGCCCGCTACGTGTACAAAGGCCGCTACGCGTACATAGGTCGCTACGTGTACGTCTTAGGCCGCTACGTATACTTTAGCCCTATGTGTACTTAGGCCGCTACGTATACATTGGCTGATACGTGTGTGACGGTATGAATATTGTGATATTTATTTTATTTTTAGGAGTACCCTTTTGACCACGCGTTATTTTGATAATGTTCTTTTGTTAGATTAGTGACTCAGTGTGATTGCATATATTTTTATGACTAGAATATGGAATCTCGTTACTGTGATATTGTTTTATGAAGCTTCCAAGCCTAAGTTATCGACGTCTGCGTGGGGACCTCATTGAAGTATACAAGTATACTCATGGTCTATACCAGGTCCCTGAAGGGTTACTAGAATTTGAAACAAGAACCAACACCAGGGGCCACAGCTATAAGCTAAAAAAATTGCGCTGCAACTTCTCCACGCGACAAAATTTCTTCTCGCTTCGAATCACCGACATGTGGAACTCGCTTCGAATCACCGATGACATCGTTGGCGCTCCAAGTATGAACGCGTTCAAGAACAGACTAGATAAAGCTATGGAAAAATATATGTTCAGATTTGAAATGCCTAGCTCCTTATCGAACCCGGTGGAAGTCTAGTAGCTACTTCAAACTATCGNGAACTAAATAAAATGAGATAATACAACGTTGTAATATGATTTCAAAATTAAAAAAAACTAGGCTACTATTTTTTAAAAACCACACCAGGTTAAATTAAGAGCGACTCCATTTACGTTGTCATCAAAGTATACTTTTCATATATCCCCGACAATAAACGGTTGGTAGAAACGGGAAAAAGAATGCATATGCACATTCGGCACTGTCTCTTATACACATCTAGATGTGTATAAGAGACAGGTGTATCGGGGCTAGGACCCCTAGTCTCTGCATCTGGTCGTCGGCATCTTGGTGCGGTTAGTTCCCGTACCATTTGCTGTCCATCTTTTTTTTATTTTTGGCATTGTATTAGGGCTAGAACCCCTAGTCTCTGCGGTTCGTTGTCGGCATCTCGGTGCGGTTAGTCCCGTACCATTTGCTGTACGTTTTTGTGATTTGGCAGTGCATTAGGGCTAGAACTCCTAGTTTCTGCAGTTCGTTGTTGGCATCTCGGCGTGGTTAGTTCCCGTATCATTTGTTATCCATTTTTTATTCGCAGCTATGTATTACTGTATTAGGGCTCATACTGTGTGGTTTCTCGGCTGTTTGTACCCCTGAAATGTCAAGCCTTTTTCCGTGAACTTTGGGATTAAGACGAATAATAAAAATTGCGCCTCGTATGAAGAAACTTGGATTTGCCTGAAGAATACCAGTATACGACGAAAAGTTCATCGCTCTTTTTCATTACTCCTTTCTAAAAGTTCATTACTCCTTTCTACAACGCGAGGGAATTTAGAGCCGGACCAAAGGGCGACTCTTTAGCCCTTATGTTTAGGATCAGTACGAAAGTCTACACTAAGTCGGCACGCTACCCGTAAATATTTCAACTTCGCGGCGGTGTTTCCGGTTACACGTGTATTCAATCCGCTACATATACTTAGGCCGCTAGCCCGCTACGCATTCATAGGTCGCTACGTGTACTTAGGCCGCTTCGTACACTTTGGCCGCTACGCGTACTTGGGTCTCTACGTGTACCTGGGTCGCTACGTGTACTTGGGTCGCTATACGTATACCTATGCCGCCACGTGTACTCGGGTCGCTACGTATACTTATGCCGCCACGTGTACTTGGGCCACTACGTGTACTTGGGTCGCTACGTGTACTTGAGTCGCTACGTGTACTTGGGTCGCTACGTGTACTTGGGCCGCTACGTGTACTTGAGTCGTTATACGTGTACTTGAGTCGCTACGTGTACTTGGGCCGCTACGTTACTTGAGTCGCTACGTGTACTTAGGTCGCTACGTGTACTTGGGCCGCTACGTGTACTTGGGTCGCTATATGTACTTGGGCCGCTACGTGTACTTGGGCCGCTACGTTACTTGAGTAGCTACGTGTACTTAGGTCGCTACGTGTACTTGGGCCGCTACGTGTACTTGGGTCGCTATGTGTACTTGGGTCGCTACGTGTACTTGGGCCGCTACGTGTACTTGGGCAAGAACCGCTACGTGTACTTGAGTCGCTACGTGTACTTAGGTCGCTAAGGGTACCTTGACCGCTACCTGGGCCTATACTTTAAAAAAAGTTAGGAGACCGTAAGTTCATCAGCCAATCTTTGACGGCCTTGCAAGTAAATTCCACCAATCATAGACAAGAAAAAAAGCGCGTAAGTACTTACGTTCACTTTGGGAAGTATGTATATTGTATGGAAGTATATTTGGGAAGTATGGCCCCTGAACTCTAACGATTTTGATAGAACGGCTCCTGGTAAATTTTTTAAATTTTTCGTTCAGTTTGCGCTGGCTAACGAGACGAGGCTTCGCAGCGTCTGCCCACCCGCCCTGTTCCCTCTGCCGCCCCAGAGGCAGGTCCAGCAGACCGTCCTGTGCTACAGCTTCTGCATCCGAGAGAACACGTGTACCATCTTCTCGGTGTCAGGTATGCTGTCATCCTACCAAAATTTATACATGTACCATCTTCTCAGTGTCAGGTATGCTGTCATCCTACCAAAATTTATACGTGTACCATCTTCTCAGTGTCAGGTATGCTGTCATCCTACCAAAATTTAATGAAATTTTACATCCGAAAATGAACGTAAAATACCGTGACGGTATTTTGCATAAAAGATAGCTAACATAGCATTCACTGCCTATTCCCTGCGGTTCTTCAAAACATATTCATCAGTTAACGTGTTTTTTCCGGGTTTTGAGCGCTGCCGACTTTGTTAAAGCAAATTTTGATCAACAACAGGCCCGGAGTAGTTCGATCTAATTTATTGGTGGTACACGTCTATTTGAATGTTCACCTGCATATATTTGATAGAATTTTAATATGAAAAAGTTTTGAGGACTTAAGCCCACCTTCAATGTCTCAATTATTAGAGCTTAGAGAGTATTATGTGAGTAAAATTTCAAAGGAAAACGCGTTGTTGAACAGACGACGTGTGCTCGGTGTGGTCGTTCCAAACGGACCAGAGTTACGAAGCAGTGACGTTCCCTGAGCCGACCGTTGTGGCGTATTGGCCAAAACGGACGGCGCCCGTGACGGCCGTCGACGTCGCCATGGGCAAGCCCGTTATGACGGCCGGGTTCGCCACCGGACACTCGCCGGCTGCCATGCTGGTGTGGAGAAGCAATTTTTTTTTCGTGGAAAGCAGCCGAATAAGTATAATTTTTGTCGGTCTCCACAAACGAACTAAATAAAATGAGATAATACAACGTTGTAATATGATTTCAAAATTAAAAAAAACTAGGCTACTATTTTTTAAAAACCACACCAGGTTAAATTAAGAGCGACTCCATTTACGTTGTCATCAAAGTATACTTTTCATATATCCCCGACAATAAACGGTTGGTAGAAACGGGAAAAAGAATGCATATGCACATTCGGCATAAGCGAATCGGGTGTCGCTTGAAACATATTATACCCTTAATCGAAATACGGTGATAATTTCGCAACGATTTGATATGTCCAATAGAATTGTCTCCGTGCACTTTGTAGCGCTGATTCCGGGTGAGGAATGTGCGTCTGAGGCTGGTTACTCGGATTGCTGCGATGAAATCATTCAGTTGTTATTGATTGAATTTCCCGTCTTTCCAGACTGGAGGCACGACATGCTACAGCACAGCGGGTGACTGCTTCTGTTCACCTAACACCGACAACTGGCTTGTGGTGGACCTGCAACAAAGCCTGCCCGTCAGGAAGGTAGTAATCACCGGACCGCCTGCCAGCGACGCCTTTTACTACACGGATATTTCCGTTCGGGTGAATGAAGATATATTTCTGTAGATCTTAAATCGCAAACGCTTTAAACGATTAATTTAATGTAATTTGAAATATCAACGTGACTAAAATTCAGTTCGGGCGATGAATGCGATGATAGAGTGTGGTTGTTTAATTTAATCGTTGCGTGTGTTATCTACTAATTGCAACTCATTAAATTATTTTCTTATAGTATATAGGCTGCTCATCGTGTGGTATTAGAATAGAATAGAAGTGTCGGCACTGAAGAAATAGGCCCATGGCCTGTTGCCGATTCTTGTTCATAGAATATAATAGAAGTGTCGGCACTGAAGAAATAGGCCCATGGCCTGTTGCCGATTCTTGAAATTTTCTTTACTTGATTCACAAGGGATCCGGCATTTGGAACCCGATCTTTCCATAACTGACGATTGATTGAGATAGCTGCTGAGAACATATGCTCCTGCATACCTTCGTCTAGTCTGTTCTTGAAGGCGTTCATACTCGGAGCGTCAACGATGCTATCAGGGAGGCTGTTCCACATGTCGGTGACTCGAAGCGAGAAGAAATGTTGTTGCATGGATGTGTTACAACGCAGTTTTTTTAGTTTATAGCCGTGGCCCCTGGTGTTGGTTCTTGTTTCAAATTCTAGTAATCGGGACCTTGTATAAGCCATGAGTATACTTGAATGCTTCAATGAGTTCCCCACGCAGACGTCGATAACTGAGGCTTGGAAGCTTCATAATCTTTAATCTTTCCTCATAGGACTTGCCTTTCAAGCCCGGAATTATCCTTGTTGCACGTCTTATTATTGTCGTAGAGGATTGAGCTGATTCTCAGTAGTGGTACCAAATTAATGCGAATCAGTCAATGCGAATATAGTCAATAAATTTGAACTTACATCAGTGTCAGACATGGTAAATTCATCTCCTATAATTTGATCGCAACATGCGTTGAATCATGCAGTTTTCTGACTAATATTGTAACTAACCTTTACAACCTTTTTTGATTCTCGTTTTTTTAAGACAAAGAGAGAATTATACAATTTATGAAAATAGAATTGTAGAAAAATTATTATTCAAAATATCATTAGAACATAAGCGTGATGTTTTTTTTACGATTATATACGTATCTGTATTACGAATAGTGTTGAATCTTGAATTGCTATGCAGGATCTACCCGACCTCAGTTCGCAATTCCGGTGTTCACAACGAGTTAAACTCTTCTGCTTTGATTTGACTCTAAAAGATCTTGTTATAATAATTAGTCAGTCGTCAATGATACAAAACTGATTTACACAAATTATTTCTTTATTTCACTCAAATTTTCAAGCTCTCCAAAGGTTGACCATCGTGTTTATTAATGTCACTTGCAACGTTAAAATTTTGCCATCGTGAAAATCGATTTCGACTGGAAATAAGAGCTACGGGTGGTAAACTGGCTACGTAACGCGCTGCACTCGAATATTTTAGAACTAACAAATATATATTGGGCTATCAAATATCTAACATTATTTTGACTCTACAAACTCTAAAATACAAACAAATGAAATCCCACAAATAGCTCCTCCATACTCATTTCGTAGTAGAAATAAATAAATATAAAAAAAAAAACATTTTTAAAAACCACGTTTTTCTGGTGTTTACAAAACTAAAAACAATGAAATAAAATAAAAGAAAAACTTTAAAAAACCACGTTTTCTTAACGGACAAAAAAGATAAACATTAACTCTTACATAACATTACATAACATTCTATACATAACTTTGATGTTATGAGAGTTGATGTTTTTCTTTTTTGTCCGTTAAGAAAACGTGGTTTTTTAAAGTTTATTTTATTTTATTTGTTTTATTTCATTGTTTTTAGTTTTGTAAACACCAGAAAAACGTGGTTTTTAAATTTTTTTATAGATATTTATTTTCTAATTTTTACTTTAGTAATTTTAGCAATTCAAATTTTTCAGGATTGGCAACTCTGGATGTTCGACAAAAAACTCTATTCAAAACCGTGAATTTTTAGTTTCTTTAATTAAAAATATATTTTAAAAAATCTAAACTTATTACTGATGATCAAATCTTAAATTGTTAGGCAGCATAAACATGCACGCCAAATTTCAAGTTGCTAGGATCTTCAGAAGTGCTCTAAATTAAGGTTTGAATTTTTGATGACAGACAGAGAAGAAACGAAACTAAGAAAAACGTGGTAAATATTCACTAATTAAATTAATTATTCAAGTTTTGGTTACAGGCTGGAAACACCGGTGGAGCAGCGGACCAGAAGATCTTTCAAACTCAGTCAGCCACTCCTCCTGGATACAAACAGTACACCATTGCTAGTGAGTGATGCACTAAAGGGCACCTTTACTCAGACGAGTAAGTGACAATCGTGCCTTTACACAACTAAATAAAAGAGTTCGTTACATTCGTGGGCAGGGTGGCCCAGTGTTTACAGTTCACAGTACCAAGATTGGAGCAGTGATTAGTGAGTTCGATCCCAACTACCAGCTAAAGTTCTGGTCAAATCGGCAAGGTGGCCGAGCGGTTGAGCGCAGCAAAATTGGAGCAGTGAGTTACGTGTTCGAGACCGCAACAAGCTGCGAGTGTTCTGCGATGCTAAGAATCAGACACAGGTCTAACGACCTAATCAACGTCAACACCGCTTATTCTATAACTAATACTTTACTGAGATACGTTAGTGATACTCGTGCCCTTACTCAGCATGAGAGAGTAGCCTACTCTTAACTAGAAATTAATTAATATTCAGAAGAAGAAAGCATATATGCATCGCAATTAGGTGCAAGTGTTAACCATTATTGGTACTAGAGCTTAAACCAGTGGTTCCCAAAGTGAGCGATATCGCCCCCCTAGGGGCGATGGAAAGATTTTGGGGGGCGGTAAAGAAGAAGAGGGTGATAGGGGGGCGATATGGGGGCGATAGAGGAGGCGGCAGTCCGAAGTCGAAGTCAAGAGTTCGAACGTTTGTTTGACGATTTGTACACAACACGTGCAGCACATGACTCCCAGCGATGGTTTTTTCACCCAGATCTGTTTTTAGCGCATTTTCTCATTTATGGAAAAAATGCACTATTGTGCTCGCGATGTCCGTCCGTCTGTCCGCCTGTCTGTCCGTCCGTGACTTCACGTTTTCGTCGACGAGAAATGCGCTCTCTGTCACTCACTGCAGTGAGTACTGAGTTTTTTTAACCTCTCCGGGGTTTACTTCTCCGACCAATTAACGGCCGGACTCGCGGCCGGTCTCACGGCCAATTTCCAAATTCAGTGATCAAGGAATGTCTCTCAAACTAATGAACTTAACTCGATGAAACTCGGTACACGCATTCATTAGGACCTTACGGTAATTTAAAGCTCGTGAAAATTTTTTGAATTTTGACTTCAATTGTTTTTGCCATACTTATATGGCGATACGGGCCGAAATTCACATTGATCAAGGAATTCTTTCCAAACTACTGAACAGATTCGAACGAAATTTTGAATTTACAGTCCTAACTACCGAACGGTGATGTTTAGCTCCAGAAAATTTTTTCGATTGTGCCTTCGTTCGCGAGTTTCATTCGTGATTTAAACAGCAATACGTGCTTAAATTCGCGGTAATCAAGAAATTCCTTCTAAAACTACTGAATGGATTTGAACGAAACTTGGTATTTAAATACCTAACCTCAGCAACGGTGATGTTTAGCTCGCTACAATTTTTTCGTTTTGCCTTTGTTTGCGAGTTATACGACTATACGTATACGGATATACGTAAACGGCTCATGGTTAAACCGGCCGGTAGAAAAGCCGGTCGTTCCTCCTATATCTGTATAACTCGCGAACGAAAGGAAAAAAAAATTGTCGCGAGCTAAACATCACCGTTGAGAGGTTAGGTATTTATATACAAAGTTTCGTTGAAATCTGTTCTGTAGTTTAGAAGATATTTCGTGATCGCGACAAATTATCCGGCGATACAGGCCGAATATAAGGAAGTGTGAAATCAAGAACGACTGTGAAATAAAAAAAAAAACTCGCAAACGAAGGTAAAATAAGAAATGTTTAAAAGCCAAAAAAATCAACGCTTAGTAGTTAGGAATCATCTTTGAGATCATCCTTGAATTCGAGATCATCCTTGATCTCGAATAAAATTCGAAATATCGTTCAAATCTGTTCAGTAGTTTAGAAGAAATTCTTTGATCACTGCGAATTTCGGCCTTTATCGCAATATAACTCACGAATGAAGGTGAAATTTAAGGGGGGGGGGCGCTAGAAGTTCACTAGGGAGCCAAAGGGGGCGCCAGCCTGAAAAAGTTTGGGAACCACTGGCTTAAACTTATTGCTTTTCTTACCTTTTGCAGTTGCATCTGGTGACATTCGCTACATTCGGATGCAGTACGAACCGGCGTCCGGTGCAATCTGCCTGTGCAAACTGCAAGCATTCCTGTGATAACTGATAACGCTCGTTAAGACTTGGTCCACTAACAACAACTCTAGTCACTCGCTGCTGAAGTATCAAAAATAGTTACGAGTTTGTAACTCGGTCAGTCAACCAATGACGACTTTCCAAGCTAAACCCGCCAATCACAGACGAGAAATCAGCCCTACTGAGGCCGCTATGTGTACTTAGGTCGTAACGTGTACTTAGACCGTTACGTGTTTAAAGTGCGTTGGATAGAACGGCTCCTAGCCTTCAGATAGGATGACGTCGATTCACAATAACCGTTTCTGGAGGCAAAACTTTAGTTTTTTGATGACTATGATATGCAACTATATATATGTGTAAACAGATTTGTGGATCATGTGATTGTACTATAAAAAATTAAATGAAAATTAAATTTTAAACAATTTGAACCGAAGCACTTTCTGACATTTAGTACCGAGATTCATTCACTAATTATTCATGAAATAAATATAAAATCAAAATTAAGGACATATTTAAATGTAACAGGTAAATATGAACTAAATGAACCTGATAGCAAATGAATTCATGAATACGAAGATTCATCTTGTTAACGTTTTTGTCGCAGCCGGCTATAGCCAACGTGGGTTCAGTGCTAAGCAATGCTCCGTGTTTGAAAAACGTTATCACGCTATGCTTGTCTTGTAGATGTTTCATCATAATCTTATATATATTCGTCTAAGATATTTTGTTCACTTGTGTGTGTTTGAAGCGTGGCACCGTAAATATATATTCGGGCGCTTATCCACGACCTGAAAATTTATTATCAGTGGGAAAAATAGTAATGAATTTCATAGCTTAGTTTATGTGTGCTTTTTATCGAGTGTTTTTTTCATATTAGGCACGCATAGCTTTATTATTAGAGATATTAAGGGACAAATGGATTATGAATAAGAGGAATGACGGAATTAACGATATAGATATTTCAAAATTGCAGGGATTATCAATTCAGTACAGGCAATGCCTAGCTAATCTGCTAAGATGGGATAGATGAATATTTTACTCGTACACTCGTAGCTATACATTATGATAGGAATGATTTTTTCGCAGTAGTTCAGTACTTTCAAAAAGTCTCAATCAACATTACTAGATAAATATTGAAGTATTTAACCGTATCACATATTTCGGAATGTTTGTTTGTTTGTGGGTGTGAAGATAGGAGCCGTGAATATATATAGGCTATTAGGGAGCATATATAAATCTACAACATCATGTCGAAATATCGCAAGAGTATGGAATTGTGAACTGACTCTAATAATAAATTACGAAAACTCAATTCAAGAAAATTTGAATTACCCTAAACTTTCAAAACGGGAACCAAATGGGTGTTTAAAGTTGAATGATGATTTAAACATGTTTTTATTTAATTGTACATTTATTTACTGAAATTAATTACGATAGAAATGACGAAGAACCACTCAATGCCCCATCTAACTGTCTCATATGGGCTTGGCCTTTCAGCAACCTCGATCAATTAGAAGAATTTACATATTAGGGCAATCACGCTACGAAATCGCAATGCGTTGGTTGATTGTTTCTGAATCAAATACTGTATCATTTGAAGGGGGGCATGAATTTCCACCACACTCGAGGATTTTGTTCGTTTGCACTTGCGCTGCAATCGATTCAACCGATTTGAAGGAATGACTATGATTCTTATATAATTCTATGGATACACATTATTAATGTGGAACAGCCTCCCCGATGACATCGTTGGCGCTCCAAGTATATATGAACGCGTTCAAGAACAGACTAGATAAAGCTGTGGAAAAAAATATGTTCAGATTTGAAATGCCTAGCTCCTTATCGAACCCGGTGGAAGTCTAGTAGCTACTTGAAACTATCGTCAGTCATGAAAAGATCCGGTCAAATGAAACGATATTAGATCTTCTGTGAACAAGGCACAAAAAGGAAAAGAATAGGCGCCGAATCAGGCCTACACTTCAGCGCCGAGATCACTATGTTATAAACGACAGAGGCATTTTAGGCTGTTGATGATGCATGGCTACAACGCCCGTGCTTTTGTTGTTGTTGTTGTTAGTTGCGACCGTCACGCTCGCCGGGGGGGAGGCTTTGGTGGAGGGCGGGGGGCCGGCACCGGAAGAGGGGGGAGATGGGCGAAGGCAGGGAGGGTGGCCAGGAAAGCCGCTGCCTCCACGGAGTTGTCCCACAGTGAGGAGACGCTGAGAGACGTGGGGAAGACGGGGCAAGCGAAGAGGTGCTGAACGGATTGGAGGGGATCCCCGCACTCCGGGCAGGCGGAGCTAGGGGAGCGTCCGATTCTGGCGGAATAGGACGCCAGGGAGCTGCAGTATCCCGAGCGGAGCTGGGATAGCGCTGAGCGGTAGGGGCGAGGGAGTGAGGCCTCCACTGAAGTAATCGGCGGTGGCGGGGCTGCAAGTACGGTGTTTATGGCGTCAGTCGCCGCCGCGCGGGAGGTAATCTCCCTGCGGAGAGACCGCTTGGCTTCTCCGTATGTCCCGGCAGGCAAGATACCATTTGCCAAGAGTGGTGTGACCAGATAGCCGAGCCTCGACTGTATCGAGGCTTTCATAGGGCGGTCGCTGAGAGGGGCAGAGACCATGCGAAAAGAGGCATGGGAGGGCTGGAGGGCACTGGCGAGGAACTGGGCGCAAGCCAGGTCCAGGTGCGCGGACAAAGGGAGGACGCAATCTCCTGGTGCAGATGGGAGATCGGGGCCATTTTGAGCCAGCCGGTAGCTAGTCTCAATGCAGTATTCTGTATGATCTGCAGGCTGGAAACAGCCATAAGGGAGGAAACAGGGTACCAGATGGGGGCCGCGTAGTTGAGAATTGGGCGCGTGATGGTACGGTAGGTGGCAACTATGTCCTCCTTGGAGAAGCCCCAGTTGGTGCCAGCAAGGGCTATAAAGATGCGGAGAGAACCCGTCGCTTTTGTGGCTATGGCTCTTGCATGAGGGGAGAAAGTGAAGTGTTTATCCCAGGTGACGCCTAGGATTTTGGGGGTTTTGTCCAGTGGGATGATGCCGTTGCAGATGGTGGCAGATGGGTGGTATCGGGATTGGTGCGTATCTGGGGTGAAGAGCGTGACCGAGGACTTGCCAGGAGCCACGGCCAGTTTCTTGACAGCCGACCAGACTGAGACCCTACGAAGGAGCAAGGCGAGCTCGGCCTCCGCAGCGTCGAGCCTCGGGGACGACACGAAGATGGTAAGGTCTTCCGCGTATGAGGCAATATTGGGGGTAGGCACTGGGATGTCGGAGATGAAGTGGTTAAAGAGAGCCGGCGAGATCACCGAGCCTTGGGGAACGCCTGAGTGGTTGGCTCAGAAAGGCGATTGAGTCCTGAGGTAGAGGCCAGATGCCTGCCTGCCTCGAAGGTAGCAGCACAGCCAGCGGACCAGGTTGTGATGTAGGTCCGAGGCCGCGATCATGCTTAGGAGGAGAGGGTGGTCAACACTGTCGAAAGCCATCGAGAGGTCGATTGCCGCGGCGACAGTGCGGACTGGAGGGCGCCGCGAGTTAAAGCCCGTCGTGATCTGCTGCGCGAGCGGGAGGAGGGCGGTGACAGTGGAGTGTCCCGGCTTGAAACCATGTTGTGAGGGGACGGTGGTGAGGGATCCTAAGATATAGGTGAGCACAAGACGCTCTAGGATCTTGGCTGCAGGGCAGAGGAAGGAGATAGGGCGGTATGAGGAGCCCTGGTTAGCCCTTACGGAAACCGGCAGGGATATGCTGTCTGGCAGCAGTCACCAAGATTTCCCTCAAGGTCGACTCACCACCACACGAGGTGGGGGGAGGGACCATCTGGAGAGCCGTTTCGATGGCTGCCGTGTAGGCAAGCCAGTCAGCTTTTTTGAAGTTGACGTATGAGCGGGCAGCCCGGGGGGTCGGAGAGTCGACGGAGGAAAGGAGATGAATCAGAATGGGCAGGTGGTCTGAGTTAAGGGCGACTTGAGGAGTCCAGGAGGTGTCGAGTAGTAAATGATCGCTGATGATTGCGAGGTCCGGAGAGGAGGGTGGGCCGTGTGAGGGGAGGCGGGGATGGGAATCCCCGTTGAAGAAAGCAAGATAGGAACCGGCAACGAGGTCGTTGACTACTGCTCCTCGCGCTGCGATTCTCTGGTCATCCGTGTAGGAGAACCAGGAAGGATGATGGGCGTTAAAGTCGCCAACTATCAGACAGTCGCCCGGTATGGAGACTGTCAGAAAGTTCCGGGGAATATCCCGGGGGGCAGGAGGAGGCCGGTGGGATATAAACATTGATGATGCAGAGAGGGGAACCATTAAGAGGAGTGGAGATGGCTATAGCCTCCATGGTGGTGTCGCCGTGTAGGAGGGGAGATATGTCTTGCCCGGTGTACGAGACATCGTGGCGAATCAGTATGAGGAGACCGCCACCGTGACCACCGGGGCGGTCTTTGCGCTCCAGCGCGTATCCGGGGAAAGAGGGGGGGCGGGGTGCAGCTGATAGCTTGGTCTCTTGGAGGCAAGCGACCGCCACGTCGTTCTTGGCGAGGTAAGTAGCCAGTTCAACTGCGCTGGATTGAATCCCGTTGCAGTTGAACTGGAGGACGCAGAGGTGGGAGGGGGCCAGCATGGGGGAGTGGGTCGAGAAAGATCCGGTCAAATGACACGAGTTTAGATCTATGAACAAGGCACGAAATGGAAAAGAATCGGCGACAGGCCACATCAGGCCTACACTTCAGAGCCGACATCACTATGTTATGTTATGTTATGTTATGTTATGTTACCTAATAGCAGTTATGAAACGTATGAATGGTTTCAAACTTCTCATTAACATAGTTTATCCGTGTAATAACATGCATTCACCAAGGGATTAAGAAACAGCATTATCTTATTAATACCCTTAATGTACCGAGAAAATTAAATGTAATAAATACGTCACAATGTTTAACCATGTCTGGTTTTTGGTCTATAGATTTAGATAGGTTTCGTAGCGTGCTTCACAAATGCTACAACTATTATTGGTTAATGTGTTTATATACTATTTACTGAGTATACATACACTGTAAATACAATAAGATAATTCAGATTTTTTAATTGACGGACGAGTGAATCTATGTTGATAAACAGATAAAATCGGTCAATGAGAAGTTAGGAAGTATTATTTCCATTTTTCGATGTTCGTGGATGGATATAATTTCTCCATTTCTTTACTTATTTTCTCTAATTCTCAAGATTCTGTCTCTGTAAAAAAAAACTTTTTATTTGCCAGAAGCAAGGTGCCTCTCTATATAAATCGATAAACCTTTCAGTGACATCTCTGCTCCAGTCTCCGTCGTGCGACATGGTCAGTTAAGCAAAGAGGCAGGGCCTTGGTGCGTCTATTGGAGCGCCCGCCCAGCACACAACCTACTTGAACGAAAGTCACAGCAACACTGCCGATTGCCCGTCACGCAAGTCCAGTAAAAGATTGAACAGCGCTTGACTCCCCATCACTCCAGTCTCTATTGTCCGGACTGCCTCAGTCCGGACTGATAAAGCCAGTTTTTCAATCGTCAGTCTCGCAGAGTCTCATAGTGGAAACGGGCCTTAATATATGTAGCTCAGGCCGGAGCATCGCTTATGGGTCCAGGCACTGCACCCGGAGCACCAGAACGAATGTCCACGCCATGTGACTGGTAGGGAGCAGACCAAGCAAGGGTACGGGCCAGGGTTGGGATGTATACCCTGGGTCAGGAGAAGAAGAACGAGTAGGAAGAAGAGATGGGAGGAGAGAAGGACACAAGGAGCCCCAGGGAAGAAAGGCGGCCAAAGATGTGGGTAGGGGGAAAGGGAGGCCGAGGTTCCCCCTGCCCTTAGCAGAAAAGGTGAAGGAGCCTCCGTCCGGTAGCGATCCGGGCGGGGGGGCCTCTGACGTTTGGCCTGGCCCACGCGAATGCCGGGTATCCGGCCGACGCGCAGGCCAGGGTACCCCTACGACGTATACGCGGCAGAGATCGGGGGCTGCTAGACAGCCGTGTTTTTGTGGCTAAATACTTGACAGGTTGACAGGTGGGTGCGAGCGTAATTCTACGGCCATATAAGAAGAAATTCCTACGCACGTTGAGAGAAAACATCATTCCTCGATGCTGAAGAAAAAATTTTTGAGAACACGAATACAAGTTTCGAAGAGATTATGCACACTATATACCTTACACAAAACGCTGCAGTGAACTGTATCGACCCATTCTTCAATGCTACAATACTGAATTTGAAAGAAGGTCATATCGCGATTTTAGCTTAGATTTTGCTTATGATGTTGGAGTATGATTGATGTGTTTTTAAGCGTGGAAATTAGAAATCGTAGTGTATTACACTGAATTATGAAGAGACCTGAGGTTGCGCGGCGCGGTTGCTTTGTGGGTGGACCGATTTATCTGCAATTTCGATAATTTATAATGGGCAATCCCAAATTTTGGAAGAAATAAAATTACAAATATAAAATTAATATAGCACATACGCAGTTGTTACCGAAAAAAATATGATAATGTAGTTTCTCAAGTGAGGTGGAATTTCGACTTGCTGGCTGCTGCACCGAAGATAATAAGATGGGAAATCCCGTTTTATCATACTTCTCATGCACAGTTTTCAAGTGAATGAACTCCTCGAGCTAAGTGAAATTCTGAGTTGCATCAGTAAGTTCCTATTAAAAAAATTCTAGTACTACAAAACTGACACTCACTTGTGAAAATGGAACATCCGCTAGGCAGTTGCATTTAAGATGAAGGAATCCAGATCCTTCGTATGAAGAACCTTGATATTGATTTATAACCGAAAAATTATGCTAGAAAAAGCTCATTCTGAAACGATTGAAATGGCTGATCAAATTTATAGAGCTCATACGCAGTTGAGCAGTTTTTTATTTCTCATTTTGAGTGAAACTTTTGACTTGACTTACGAGTTGACGTTTGAAATTAAAATTGTAGAGGTGTTTAACCGAGACAAAATAAATTTATACTAAAACTGCTCGGTTGTGAAGTGTCAGTAAAAGAATTCTTCGATTAGGGAAGAATTCTTAGATGAATCATAAACGTTTCAATTGGAAACCCCAAATTAGAATAGAAACCAATCAACACGCACGCACAAAAAAAAACTTTGTACAAATGAATGCATATATGTTTGCGCTATTTTTCGTTAGTAAGTTACGCAGCACACAACTTAAATATTTTTATTTTATTACTTGATACTGTTTCATACATTGTTGTCGAAAGGATAATCTTTATTTAAGAATCTTCCAACTGCCGCCATTATTGTTGCTTTTACATCAGTGCTGCCTCAAATACATTCTCAGTGATTCATGTTTTCAATAATTTCATGTTAAGATGAGCAATGAATCAAATCAAAATCTAATGTCAGTGATCTAACATTTGACGTAAAACTGTCTGGAGATTTGTCATTGTTCTATTTATTAATTGATTCATATTCAGGTTAGGATAGAACTAATATTTCATAGAATATTGCGCTTTTGGTTTATGTTTTTTAGCTTGTACTATTGTGTTTACCTCCAGCTGCTGCTGAGTGCTGCCTAACATTGTCAGTTGCTCGATTGTTTTGTTTGAAATGACCTGTGTGTTCTTTCAACTAAAAGAGTACTAAATAATATTCAAAATATCTTCCCACGCAGAAACATTTGGTAAGTAGAAATTTTTACCTTTATCATATTTGTTTTTAATGTTATTATTTATAACGTCGTCCTATCTTGTCCCTCATTTATAGTGCTATTGCAATTTTTTTCTAGCTACTCCAGTCGAGGTTGTGACCTAAATCCATTTACCATCCTCTGATGATCTGATCCTCAGTCATAGCCTCATCATAGGTACAAAGAATGGCCTACATTTCAACATTTGAATCAAACAACTTTTTCCTTTCTTTCTAGTCAACAAAACTTTAATTTAGGTATATTAGGTAATTTCCATTTTTATATTATATAAAGCAACAAGAATATTGTTGCTTTCTTTACCGTAGCTATAGTATGTTTCCAAAACTAGAGAGTAGAGACCAATCGCAATTATTGCAGTTGCGAACTTGGTTTAGACTTTAGCCTCTTATACTGTTAACTGTGTCAAGTGTCAAAGTAACTAAAGTTGCTGGCCTATATTTTGTAAACAAAACTGAGCCATATTTTCTAGCCAATTAGGCTAGCAACTGTGAAAAACGTCTACCTTTAGGGCTGTGACTAGAGCTTTTCCCTCATTTCCAAAACTGCTTGAAGATTTTTGCCAGATTAATTACCTCCTATCTAATCAGTGTGGAAATCCAGAGGGGTAAGATATTAACTGGTAAACATAGCAAATTGGAAAGCAGGACCCAAAAATCTGGAATGTCCAGCACACTTCCACTTTCAGTTCATCATCATCACTGATGAGTCTCTGCAAGATGCCACAGCTGTTTCATTGAAAAAAACAGCGCTTGCATGAAGTTGCATCATCACAGCCATGGTCAGGAAGATGTGCCAGGTGCACGGGAATTTATTTTGTCATTTTAACGACCTGCGCGGTGCGCCGTACTACGTTGGTAAAAAAATGCGCCGTGCGCCGTACTTTAGAAAGCTAAAATAGTTCTACTATTTTAGTTGACAATATACGCGAGTATATTGACTACACGAGTCAAACTGACAATAATAAAATGTAAGACATGTCCGGGTTACTTCTGACTCTTCCGGTTGTCCGCCTTGTCAAGTTGTCGGATACGGAACGTACAGTAATCGTAAACTGCGGCTGTTATACAAAATTTCTTCTAAAATAAAGATGGCCGGGATTGCGCGAACATGTGTGCGAAGATAATCAATTTTCATTACATTGCGCCAACTGTGCACAGCAATAGCTTAAAAAAAGTGAAAATGCGCGGGAAAATTCACCAAAAATATACATCATCCTGAGTGTGGCATCACAGTAACAAGAATTCAATCAACGCTTGAACGCGTCCAACGTAACAGTCACAAGAATCCAATCAACGCTTGAACGCGTCCAACGTACTGTCACAGGGATCCAATCATGGCTGGAACGTGTGCAACGTCACAGCCACTGGCATCCAATCAGCGATAGAAAGCTAGAAGGGACCGCCTCAAATGCACACAAATGACACAATGTTAACGCACTGATGCTAACTTAATGCATAATGCTACAATTCTTATTTCAAGAGCGTAATACAATAGTGTAGTTATGTCATTATTGATGGAAATCACAAAGAATATCATCTTCACTATGTGCACTCACTCACAAATACATGAAAAACTGCCTATGATTCAATCCACAAATACAAAACTGACCACCAATGCAATCAGCTAAGACATACAATCTCTTTTCGTTGCGATCAGCCAAACAAAAAACGTAAACAAAGAAGGTAGCAGGGATACCAACCGCACCGGCAACCAATGTGAAACTGACTTCAATATAGTCATGTGAAAAAATGAAAGATACGAATTCTTCTATATTAAAAATTTATCAATAACTGACATTCAACAGAAATCAGAATGGTTTAATAACCTTCGTAAATATTATTCATGCATGCAGAATCAATCGTGTGCAACAGTGGCTGCGTGGCGGGAATCTATGATGGTTAGTTCTCATTAAGCAATCGGTGGGTAAGGTACCTACAGAACATTACTGCAGATAAAGCTCCCGAACTTCGAAACGATAATTGCGTGAAAACTTTACGTGATATATTGTGAGCCTTCTAAAGTTTTAATAATGAAGAAATCACAAGGTTCACAGAATCTAAAGGTTTGAATGCTAAATTTTTGACTTTTGAGTACTCTATTGACTATTGAGTCTACTCTAGTCAGTCAACTGTGAAGTGTCATGTTGTTTGTTGTGCATTGCCTTTTTTTCAACTTCGAGAATTTTCTCCAATTGCCGATGAGTTTCTCCTCAATTTGAAAGCTGAGATAACAAATAGGTGCCATAAATGTTTTTTTTTTATATTTAATTTGAAACTATTATGTTGGGAGTAAATAGTATTTCCTTCTGTAGATCCATCCCTCTTGCTCATGTGTGAGTGACGCGCGCAATTAACAATCTTGCATGGGACCTTCTCTGTGTTGCCTGACTTGACATTCATACGATCATAGCTATCGCAACCGAAGCCAATTTCTGACGGCCTGCAAACCTGTTTCTAGTTGCCTGGAACATTTTTTTTAAGGCGGAATGCTTTTTTTATATGAACCACGAATTTTAGAATTCCAGCCTGTTAATCTAATTAACAAAATTGCACAATCAGGCCAGGAGATTTCAAATGTATTAGAAATTTGTCACATTGGAGCAGATGGAGCTGCAAAATTTTAGAAACAAGTAGGAAAATTCTAATCCTGCCAATTAGGAATATAAGACAGATTTTTTCTTCAATGGCAAGTGAAAAATAAAATGATGTTTCTAGGATGATTTCTGATGAATTGCTGGTAAAACCATAAAATGTAAATTGGCTGTCTTTATCATTTGGGACTTGCTTTCTTTTAGAATCAGTTCATTTTTACAACACTTCTCTTTAACTTCACTTCTTGTTTGTTTGTCTGCCTGTCTGTCTGTCTGTCTGCTACAATTCTTATTATCAAAATTTAACACACTTCTACTTGTCCTATCGTTCTGAAATTTTGCACACTTGCGTAAAGTTGGAGACAATGCATGAATCAAATGACAAAACTAATTATTTTAAAAATTAAAACATTTTTTTTTTCAATATAAAAAAATTGAAAAAATAATTTCATCAGGCGTCAGCTACAAATCTTATAACTGATATTTGACACACTTTTACCAGTCCAATTGATCTGAAATTTTGCACACTTGTGTGAAGTCAGAGGCAATGCATGAATCAATTGACAGAATAAATAATTTTGAAAAAATTTATATATTAAAAAATTTTGAAAAATTAATTTTTTTAATATTTGAAAATAAAATGAGAAATTCATTGTACATCTTTAACATTGGAGACACTGGATTCTGTAAAATTGTTGTTTTTAAAAAGTAATTTTTGAATGTATATTATTAATTTCCTCATTTACTCATGATTTAAACCAATTTCTTATGTATGGTAATGCTGGTATCCAGGATACTTTACTGGTCTACTTATGGGCAGAGGTGGGCAGTAGCGCGCTACATGTAGCGGCCGCTACATTTTTGGTAGCGGTAGCGGCTCTACATTTAAGGCAATGTAGCGGTAGCGCCTGCTACATATTTAAGTAGCGATACGAGGTTTTGCCAATACAGCGCTACCGCTACATTTATAGATAAAGCCTTTAGATTTTACTTTAGGGGACCGGCTACCCTCAAACAAAACTTCTTTGTTTACAGATGGATCATTTTGAAACTTGGTACACATATGTAAAACAGAAATCTAAGACCTTTTTGTTCATGTAAATTAAAAAAAATGAAAGAAAACGTGGAATTAATAGAAAACGGCAAATAAGGGGTACCGTAAAATGGGTAACTTAGACCGGCAGGGTAACTTAGACCACTTTTCATTTTTTCAACAAAAACCCCCACAACTCAAAAACTATTTAACATAGAAAAATTTTGTCAATGGGCATTTAAGGCCTAATACTGAGGCTACATAATGCAATAGAAAGATTTGAAAAGTTAGCATATCTAATAGATTAAAAAATTTAAAATGTGACCCACAAAAAAAAGCTATTTGAAGCCTGTCAGAGTACCCCCTCCAATTTTTTTATTTTTTGGTTAAATAACTCCAAGTTTTGATGCATTGTAGTAGAACTCTTCTAGTTACATATGCAAATGACAAATTTAATAAAGGAACACTGCAAGATGAATTGAGAACATAAGCTTACTAGAATTAACTATAACCATAATCCAATATAATAAATTGACTTCCTCAAACTAAACCATATCAGTCAGAGATGAACACAACCAAAGTAAAATGCAAGGGAACACAAGAAGTTAATATCAATGAAATTAGCAAAATACAAAGACAAAACTTAACCTAAATTATCAATGAATAAATTATATAAATTTCTATGCCACTCACCAGTGCAACTGAGTGCCCAGGCTGAGATACTGAATAGGAATCCAAATACTCAAGAGTGATAATTCAAGTTTGCAAATTATACTTTGGTCATCTACACTGAAAAAGATAAAAATATTGAATTTAATTTAAATTGAGTTGGATAGAGAACTGAAGAAATATGATAATTAGTAAAGGAAGACATGAAGGTTGAGCTACACAGTAGCCTAATTCAACCTCCGGTAACAGCGCTGCCCAGCTCTGCTTATAGGACTCAAAATTGAACTTGAGGGAGAGTCTAAAAAACTCTGCAGTGCCACTATGCTGAAGAAATTGGGAAAAAGTTGAGGGAACAGAGGTGAATATGGTCAGATTCATGGGCATTTTTATTTCTGTCAAATTGACGGGCAGCTTCTGTCTAATTAAATACCCTGTTAGGCTTGGCTTCATAGTGCAATTGTAAAATCTCCTTAGTTATATGGTTATCAATATCATACCCCAAAATTTATAATTTTGATCTGAATTATATGTTTGTATCTGAGCTGTTATCTGTTAGTTTGGTATTGAAGTTGTAATTCATTTTCTAAGCTATAAAGCCATTTTTCAAACTGTAATGGGATTTGTGTCATCTCTCTAATTTTATCTTGAGAGATGCAATAAAAATAAAAAACTTCTTGGATC